CGCCGCAAGTTGCATTTTGGGCGGAGCATGGACGAATTAGACTTTCCCACGGCCCTGTACTCTAACCCCGTGCAGTTTCGGGCGGGGAAACCACGACACATCGACAGCTGGGGGGCTGATAGTCACATACACCCTCAATGTGTGTGAGCGTACCATGTGTCTTTAACTAAACCGGCGTACAAATGGTCATACCTATGATAAGCAGTTGACTACGAGCCTTGTCAGCTCCTTCTCCCATGGTTGGGTCATCAGCCTTGTAGGCGTCTAGTTTTTGTTCAACTAGATGGCCAAGTTCCACATTTCTTTCAAAGTCAGCTCGATACCTGAGAAAAGCTATCGCTTAGTAATATGAATAACGTTATAACTTTCAAACTGACCGCAGAGAAGGATATTCTCCTAGTGTTGCACAGACAGTTGCAAGTTGTTCGGCTATGCGCTCAAGATTGGATGTTAATCCTCCCTGTTTCTGAGCATTATAGTAAAGAAAATATGTGTCAGGTGAGTCCAATGTGTACACCTAAAAATGCAGCTTCATAACAAAACAAAAAACTCAAAAAAGGGCAGCAATCTAACAATTTTTAACCTACCTGACTTTCATAAGGAGTAAAAGCGATGTTGATTTCTTTCAAAGTTTTGATATAGCGAGCGGCAGCACTGCGAGACAATTCGGAAAATAGCGTGTCAGTACAAGCCTCCGTGAAAAACACATGGGCGCACTTGTACTGGTTACGTACCGTGTAGTCAGCAATGAGGCGATCAATCTAAAGTTAAAAAAAAACATGTATATGGAAAAAAGTATGCTGGCAATGCTCCTTTTAAAGTATCCTGTTCAACAGCTGAGCTCATATTTATATGATTCTGATTTATATATACAAGAATAGACTGAACTAATTCGATGTATTATTAGTGCTACTGGTAAACGGGTAGAGGTTGAAGCGCTTGTTGCCTCTTCGGAAAACGCATCCCATTCCATCTAAATTCGGGTGGCATTTGAATGAACCACTGAGTGCACATCGATTCAGGAGGAAGGTTTTTGTGAACACCCGTAAGGCCACAAAACGTTACCAGTTTCATTTTTGAACACTGTGAACGAACTGGCCTACCCGGAACAATATTTTGTTTTTCTTTCCTTAGGCTCATTCAAGAAGTCTGATCCGAGGCAGAAACAAATTCTTGGTTCCTTCCAGCTTTCAATGCCGCCCAACATAAAAGAACAGAAGAAATGTGGCTCAAATGAATGTAGCATTCTATAGCTCCACAGAAGCTCAGAGGTCTCAACGTCAACAACAGGGAATAGGAAATAATCAATGACTCCCCAAGCCGAATGCGCCCGTAATTTACCTGTATCATGATTTTCCGTGAATATAAGTTAATGTCAGCTATAATTACACCATTATCAGGTTATGGCATATTTACCATATATTTGATGACCCTGATATCTCTACCGCTTTCGCATCGAGAAAGCAAATCACGGTACTGTAAAAAAATTCTAAGGGTATTATCCCATTTCCCTCAATTCTAATTTGAAATTTGTTTGTTATTCAGTAATTGCAGCAGCACATTCTCGTGGTGTATGAATAAATAAATAAATAAATAAATAAATAAATAAATAAATAAACGGTGCATGGAGATAGGAAGGCTTTTCTGACCAGAGTTCAGTCTGATAGTATAATCCAGGGACCATGCGTGTAGCGGTATAAACTCCCTCTGCGCACCTTCCGCACGACTGCTACATAAGGAACGCTTTCTGGGGATGGTGGACCATTGGGAGGATCTGCAGAGCCTAGCGGGCGGAAGATCGTGGAATTAGAATGGCCACAAATAAAGTAAAAGAAAAGCATGCGAATGAACTCAACTACAAGCATCAATTTGCGATTTGAATGAAATTAGCAGAAAATGTGTACGAACAAGTGATGAAGTACAAACTTTTTGCCAAACCACTTTCTGGAAACCCCTTTTTTGTATATGTCCCTAAACGACTATAAGAGGGCTAGAACGGAATAATAGGATTAACAAAGCACACAGGTGTGCGCCGATTCGAACGGTAAACTTTCCAGAGCGAAGCGCAAACAAATGATCAATGAGCTACCGTTTATGTCCAGAGAAGTTCTAAAAATACGCCTCACCACACTGTCAGAGCCAGCAGTGATCCATCGTGAACTGAAGAGCTACGTAAAGTACAAGGTATTTCTTAAAAACCTTTGACGAACATATTTCAAATGGTACAAATTCGTTAACGCCGATCTAAGCGAAGAAAAACTGTCGCGTTCTTCAAAGGTATTGCCGTTACCCAGCTCAAACCTGCTGATAGCTAGATGATGACTTGGTAGAGTTCGTCTGTTGACAGAACAAAGTCAATAAAGAACATAAAGCGTTCCCCCTTTTCAAACACTGTTAGTTCCAAATGTACTGTATGTTGCACCTACAGAGTTATACTCTACCACTTGGATAGCGCGCAAAACTTTCTCGCATGACCTGGACATTTCGAAAAAGACTGGTCAAAAAAGGAGATTTAAACAATGGGAGATTTATAGGGAAGATCATCTTGACAACACTGTAAGGTATCTGTCCAGGGTAAACACCTAAACGGTTCTGTACGGTTCATATTTCAAGACGTAAGGTGTTCATGGAACACTCATAGCACTGCGAAGTTGAAATATTAGGTTGTCCGGAAAGTTCTGCAGGTTTCGAGTGTTTCACTTTAAACGATCATAACTTTCTTAACACTCATCGGATTTAATCCAAATAAGCACCATTCGAATCAGCACACTTTTGCCAATGTGACAGCAGTCGAGAAATCCCATCAAAGAAAAAACTGGGTGGTCGAGATTCACGAAATCCACGAAGGCTTTTTTGCCTGGTCCTGATTGATGAAGTATTTTCCAGCAAGGGAGTTCTGAAAATGTTTGAAAAGGTGATAGTCGATTGGCGAAAGGTCTGAAGAATATGGCGGTTGAGGTAGAACTTCAACCCCCAATTCGTTCAATTTATGGATAGTGATTTGTGAAACGTGTGGGCGGGCGTTGTCATGCAAAAGAATCGGACCCTTTCTTTTGATAAGTGTTGGCTGCAGCTGACAAAATTTTCGGTACATTTCGTCGATTTCTTCACAGTAGGGTTCTGCTGTGATGGTTTGGCCTGGTGATAAAAAGTTATAGTGGATCACACCAGCCGATGACCACCAAACCGTGACCAGAATCTTTTTTCGTGAGGGTTCGGCTTTGAAAATTACCTCGGTGGTTCGTCGGAATCCAACCACTGTCCGGAACGTCTCCTGTTATCATACATGATCCATTTTTCATCACAGGTGACAATTCGGTTCAAAAACGGGTCGTTTCTGTTGCGCAAAAGCAGTGAAGAAGAAACCTCGAGACGTGCCAATTTCTGCCGGTCACTCAAATTGTGGGGCACCCGAGTTTTTTCACCTTCCCAATGCGTTTCAGACCATCTGCAACAGTGGATTTGCCAACGCCTAGCTTTTCTGCAATCTCTCGAACTGTTTGGGATGGGTCAGCCTCCAAAATCCTCGTCAGATATTGCTTTAGGTCGACCGCTATGAGGTTCATCTTCAAGGCTGAAATCTCCAGAACGAAATTTGTTGAGCCATTGCCGCACAGTGCTTTCTCTAGCACTATTGGGCCCCCACACCTGGTTAATTTGTTGAGCTGTTTCGATTGCGGATTGCCCCAATTTATAGTCGAAGAAAAAAATCGTCCGAAGTGCTCTTTTCACATGCTTGAAAAAATCTTGAAAAAAGGGGGTTTATCAAGCAATGGTGAAACGGCAATTATACCATCAGATAGCGCAAAAATTCTCTTCAAGAATTCTCTTCAGGATGTACTACTGAGATGCAAGGGAGAGTGAGTTTTTAATCAGCAATGAAATCACTTTTTGCCACGTTTGCGCAACAAGCAAAAAAGTTAAGCTCAGCAGGGATCCGATCCCATGACCTGTTGCGTGGTAAACGCGGCTCCATAACTCCGTTCAGAGAATCGCTTTGCAAATTTTGAAGGCAGATTCAAGATCAGCGTCCAAAACCACGTCTAGTGATCTACATCTCATCACAAATGGCCACTTCGACCTGACGACCTTCCCTAGTCAGCAGAAACATTCTGTGGTGATGAAAGATCAGAAAACAGTTTAATTCTGCTAGACTGCACCAAAGTTTGAAATGTTAAGGGTAGGCATTTGAGGGATATCATTTGAGGGAGGGAAGCGAGGAATTAATTACACTTATTACCGGCTTCACAAGCTCTGACAAAGGCAACAAGAACGAAATATCTGTCAGTCAAGGATATTCTGAGGCCTTGCATCCTACGATGAAACCACATTAAAGAGAAGAGTACCTCACCAAAAGCACTTCAATATGCTAACAATAATGTTCACTGGAAGTTAAACTAGCGTGTTTCTGATGAACCTCCCAAGGTCCACATCGACGTTTTCGAAGGTGCTGAATTCGTCAGTGAGCGCCCATAAGTGGAGTCGCGGTTGAAATCCAGCAAAAACAAAATGAGGAGTTGGCCAGTTGTTACGGGGAGGAGCTGAAGGCTCCAAAAAACAGACCCTCAAGCTGACCCTGATTCGGACCGTCGACCAAGGTCAAGCTCAATCGCCTACATTACAGGACTTCAAACACGTGAGGAACCATGGCTGCGTGAGGTTAAACCAACAGACAAGTGACTGTGAAGTCTCGAGACAGAACCAGCACGTGATCTCAATCGGATGTTCTACTTGACCTTAACAAAAGACGCGTTGATCCAAGAGCTTTTCATGAAGGAAAATACAATCGAGAACCAATGGCGTGACGGAAAGATGATGACGCATGACCAGAAAAAAAAGCGTGAGCCGTTGTGAAATTAAAACTGAAGACTTTATGCCACCAAAGCAATATCTTGCCCCCACTCGTTTCTTGGCGCCAATGCTGATACCATTCAACAGTGAATAGAAACGAAAAGCGCGCTGTGAAAACTGACACTTGACATGAAAATGTCTGTGAGTTTAGTGGGCGGCACAATTAGGGAAGATTCAGAACTGCCACTTATGGGGCCGCACCGCTTTCGTTACAGAGTGTATAGGCGCAAAACGGACCATCTTGGAGACGGCCAGTCAGACACCTGAGCAACTGAACAAGGAGGGGCTAACCTATTGTCAGAGCGCAGGGATTGTCTTTGAAGTACGACCTGTTTCGCAGTAGGACAAAATTATGTTAACTTTTCTCGAAGGATGTACTTTGCACCAGATTACTTCGCGTTCGCGATTGCGCATATGCCCCTCATCCACACTTCCCCCACTCCCTCCAAAAACGACGGCATAATGACCGATTCAGTCGCGAATCTCGAAAACAATACGGGACGGCGTATTTGAGAAAACAAGGGAAAACAAATATCAAATCATGGTTCAATTCACGAGTTCAGCAGCCAATGCTGTCCGCGTGCATGGAACATAACATTGACATACTTCAAACATACTAACATACTTTCTTTGCTTCAATTTGATGTACTGAAACATTATTAACTTTTTACCTGAACATTAAATATTTCTACTGAGTATTTTTGAAAACATTTCAATCATCACTCGCTGCAGAAACGGTGATTATTCATATCTAGCCAAAATGAAAACGAGAACTCAATGCTTCTCGACAACAAAATGAGCACTACTTGTCACGCGAAACACTAATTAACCAAAGGACATGACTGACCGATTCTTTGGTTGGGGCAATGAGGTAGATGGCTTCCAGGCTAGGAAGTGGCTCTCTTCTCTTGGCTAGGTCCTTCAACGATTGTTATACCATCTAGAAAAACAGTGAATCAAGTCTAGTAACCACAATCAATGAATGGCGTAATCCTACGAAATAGTGTACTTTATGTGACTCATAACTCACTCCAAGAGCAAAATGATATAGGGATTTTTGAGCGTTGGCTGATACAGGATATATCAAGGACTTACTGCGCAAAACTGAGACTGCAGCAATGGAGATGAGAACTTCATGATAAAAGGAACTCCGTGCCGGAGAGGTGAGCTGTTCTGTAGTTTAAGAAGGGGGTTTCGCATTACGCTGGTCCCACTTTTGCCCAAGGAGTCCGCTGAATGTTCCCCCACCCCTCACCCTGATTCTCCATAACAATACTGGGAGATAACCTCGCATCAAAAAACTGTTTTGTGTATCTTCATTTCCCTTAAGCCGCATTCATACATAGAAAATTTGTAGAGTTCACAACAAAGAAGATGTAGAAAGATAGAAGAAAATATATGCATCGACTTCAGAAAACGGAATTGGAGGAATGCAGAAATGGCGGAAAGACTCGATACGTATTAATCGCTTAGCCCCGCCATCGGGAGAAATGCCGATT